AAAAAATATCATCATATTCTTTTAGAAGTAGTTTTATTAACCGAACATCAGTATCATTCATCATTATCACGTGAAAAACCCACATGTCAGTATTTTTCTCTCAAAAAGGTTGCGAAACATTTGAGAATAGGCCTACACAGTTCGAACTCACAGATGGTAAGCTCAAAACATTATGGAAATTAATGGGACATATTCTCATGAAAGTAATGTATCCAACTATATGAAACGATAATTAACTCAGATTTCGACAGACGTCGCTTACCTGTTTTGAGTCCATTTGTATTGTTGAAATATGTAGTTGTATTATTATCTTTCCCGTCGCTTGTGCAACCTTTAATATATTCAATGATTTAATTTAGAAGTCCGTTTTTAGTTAGATCAGCTTTGCATTCGTTGTGTTCAAGATCTTTGTTCTGAAAATAAGATAATAGTGTGTAGAATTTCCAGGAATTTGTTAAGAAATCTTCAATACTTCAAGTCAAAACATCGAAAAGGCAAACAGAAATGTGGTAGTTCTGGTTGTAATAGTGAAGTAGTTATATACTAGTGAGTTCTTTCACAAACAGTGCTTCGTGAGTGGATCTATGTTTGAAGAATTTGTCAGCTGTGTTTTAAAAATATGCGCTTTTTTCTATTTCCCACTCTTTTTTTCTATTGAACAAGGGAAACAAGCGAAGAAGAATTCTGTACTTAACTTCGACATTTATACCCCATACGTCGCATGCAGGTTTTAATTGCATATTACGTTAAAAGTAATTGTAATAATAACAACATCAACAACAACAACAATAATAATAATAATAATAATAATAATAATAATAATAATAATAATAATAATAATTCGAAAAGTCAAAACCGAGACTGAATTATTATTTGTGGATATTTACTGCGTTTCCGGATATCTAACGAAAAATACAGACACGTTTCATATGGCCGGACGCATAGTTTTCTTTCAATTTCTCTATGCATTGTAAAACGTAATATAGACTCTCGCTATCCTGAATTTCCGACACTTTGCTGAACACCAAAACTAAAAAGACATTAAGGAAAGTCACCAGATACAAATCACCAGTGATCTGCGAGAAGCTGCCCTAATTTTTATTTATTTACTTATTTATTTTGTAAACGGCGTCGTATACAGGTGTGAAGAAAACAATACGGCTCATAGAAGTCACACCACAAGGCAACTCCGAGTCGCAACACATGCCAACGGACGTAGCCCCCGTCCTTTGTAGCATCGCGGTGGAAGTACAGCATGTAAAGTAATATTATAAGTTGCAATACAATTATAATCACTTTATGTAACCATCACAAATACAAGAAACTTTGTGTCACGTAGTAGCACCACTTATTTTTTTACTTTCTTCTGTATGTTACATAGAAAGCGACAGATAGGTAATGCTACAGGAAAAGCTTCGATTTTCGACAGAAAACCACGTTCTGTCAGAGTTATAATTCGAGCTCGAAGTAACTTTTATTGGGAGTTGTAACTTTATGAGGGAGCAACCGAAATTGAAAGGTCTAAAACGATAATATTAAAAAATGGGGAGGGGAGAGTTGAGATCAAAACTAAATTTTTGAAGTTTAGCGATTTTCCCAAATTAAGAGGTTTCAACGAAAATTTTTGACGAACGAGCGTTCTCTATATCCCGTGACAATGTTTTATAAAAATTTATAGAAAAAAATAATTACATTTTTTGTGATAATTTTGAAAATGTTGAGTCTTCACGTAAGTACCTCGAAATCGAAAATATCCGTTTCCAACTCGCAGGGATTTGTGTTCATTCAAATCGTTAGGGAAACATCAATTTTGAAGAAAAGCGCCCGAACGATTTAGATGCTAGCGTTGACCAATAACGGACAGAGGGAGGGATAGACCAACAATTTTTCCGCCAATCCATTTTTAGATAGCAAGGGCCGAGTGGAAAGTAGTAGAAAATGGAAAAAAACACGTTTTAATTATGAATAACCTGTCAAAGTGAATTGTATCCACATTAATTGTACGAAAAGTAAGTCATAGGAGCAAGAAAAATCCAATATTTCGGTATCAGGAAGTTTTTCTGTCGAAAGAGGAAAGGAAAGTTAACAAGTGGTACTAAAAAGCACACACGTTCTTCCATTATTTCCAACTTCTGCAATTTTCAGTTGAGCAAGAGTCAGCGATTTCAACGAATATGAAACCTGCTCAATTTTTATGTTAAATCCGAGAACTAAGTTTAATGAAAAATGTTGAGCGATTTTTGAGAAAACTTTCAATGTATAGTTGAAATTTCATGCAAAGTACGCCCCCCAAAAATCAAGATATCCGTATCTAACTCACAGGGGGTTGAGTTCGTTCAGATCGATCGGGATAATCAATTGTGGAGAAAAGCGTCTGAATTTTAAGGCGCTAGCGTTGACCACAGACGGACGGACACGCACACAAACAGCTCTGCCGTTGATCGATTTTTGGCCAAGAATCCACAAAATGTGGATTGCGACTATACAACGTATTAGGGGAAGTTTTCTATCACACAGGAACGGTTTTTCGACACTTTTTCGAAGATTTTAAGAAATTTCTCAAAACGTGTGTTTTCGATTTTTGGCGCTGCGATCTTAGTGATAATGCCAGAAATTAAACCAATGCCTCCTAAATTGATCTATGTAGGTGGCATTGATTAAATACCAGAACTCAAAGGCACTGTTAGCCAAATACGACATAATTTTCTTCCACGACCTTGGTAACACCGATGTTGACATCTTAAAGTTGAATTACCAATTATATTTTAATTTTAATAAATTTTAATAAAATTACCAGTTGAAGTAACAATTGAATTACTAAGTAAATCGCGCTCCAGTTTGATTTCAACTTGCATTTTGATTCAATTTAATCGATTTATTATCGTATTTAAAACAAATTAATTTGCGAATATCTACAAACAGAATAGACTCGGAACTTATTGAACTTGAAGAATTGCAAGTGAATTTGGAGAAAACAAACCTGTGAGTAATGCTAGAGAATGAATGAACGTCATAATCGACTTCACACTTTTACGTTCTTACATAAGTGTGCAAATACCGTTTTCAAATGAATGTGACCCACTACTTATTCTTATTCAAATTAACTAACACCATATTCACATAAACAAACAAAACAGTCACCTGTCACCTTTTAATGTTAGATTCGCATGCTACACTAGATTTGCATGCAAAACGATTAAAAGAACATTTGTAGAAGTAGAAGTGAACACAAATTAGATTGAGTTTGTAAAGTTTTAATCTCTTCAAAAATTAGGGGAGAAAATTCTGGAAGTGTTAAGAAAATCCAGGGAAGAATCAAATGTAGTTGCAAAAGATGTAGCGAGAGAATTTTCGAAACTAATTTGGAATGATCTGTATTTTTGCATTTAGCATTTGTTTTAATGCAAATGTGCTATGTGCATTTTTGTACTTATTACCAAAAAAGCGTAATAATGTATCCGTACTTAAATTTAATTCTTAGCATCAAAACCTGCAAGTAATTGTTACGGCATTTATAAATTTGAAATTGCAATAAGATTAGTTCTTATCCCGTATGAAGGTAACGCACAAGGCGATTGGGTGTCGGGAACTTTTGAACGGGGGTATATCGTTATCAGCTACTACGATTAATGAATCGAAGTAGTTGAGTTTATGAATCGTAAGTCTAATAACAAATACTGAAAGAACATATTTAAGCAAAGATGGGCATGAAATAAACCCAGTATGAAAGAAATGTTCAACATACGAAACTATTTTTAAAAAAGTTTACATCGTCAGCGACGCCACATTTTCTATTCTTAAACTTTGGAGTATTCTTATACTTTGGAGTGTTTCATAAGATGTCTGAATTAGTTAGAGTTTGAAATTTTATAATGTATTCTTGAAGTCTTGTTTATAATCAACCGGTACGTCAGCCACTGACTTTAGCTCGTGAGGAGGGAATGATTTTACGGATAAGTTATCGTAAGGACGAGGGTGGAAGAGGAGGCGTGGGGAAGGGGCAACTGAAAGGCAAGCAGCCGCGAACGCGCTTTGTCCGGCATCGATTCTTTCCGGAATCGACCGGGATTCAAACCCCGTGCACGGGAGGCGGCGGCGCTCGCTCGCTGCCCGCTGCGGTGCAGGTGGTTCCGGAGGCCTCGGAGTCGCAGCCACCGCCGCCCCCGCGGACAGCCGGCGCCCGCTCTTTCCGCTCCGTCAAAAGAGACACCTCGCCCTCCCCTCCGCCCACCCGCCCCTCGCGCCCGCGCGCCGTTGTGCGGCCAGGCGGGCAAGGCGGGGCGCGGCGGGCGCGGCGGCGGAGAGGCTGTCTCTGCCTGAAGAGCAATGTTAAATATTATCGATTGGATTGAGTTCAACCTTTCCTGCGTGAATAGCACCATGCGGGCGGGGACGCCGCGCCGCGCAGCGTCGCGTGAGGTGAGTAGAAAAGATGTCGTTCCCCGCCGACCCGCACCCCAGCTGCTGTTGCGGCAGACGAGGGCTGTTCACCCGGCCATTCCTCGCCCCCTCGCACTGACACGCTCTTGGCTTCGCGCCCACCATCACCTCACCTCCGCCGCTCCCCGCAGACACCTGCGTATTTTAATAAAATCGTCTTTATTGATTGCGTGTTTTAACACGGTGGTTTGCGCGTGGTAGGCTTTTGTTTTTTCCGTGCATTTCGACCTGCGCTGCTTAAACCGGCGCGGTGCGGTGCCGTCGAAAAAGGTGGACGCCGCGCGTCTATCGCGAGGGCGCCCGGCCGCCGCGAGGCCATTTAATCGCGGCGATAGCCGAGTGCCTCACCGCCCCCCCTCCCGACGCCCCGGCGCGCCCCGAACCGCCCGGGAGGCGACGCGCGCACGCCGGCGCGGGCGGGGCGTTGGCCGCGCGCGTTGGCAGGCCTGCGCCCTTCTCGTCCCCTGGTGCGCCGGGCGAAAGGGGAGCCAGTGCAGACGCGGGCTCGAGGGGCGGCGCACCAACCGGCCAGGAGCGGCCAAGCGCGCAGCGGCAGCGAGATGACGCGCACGGAGCAGTCGGCCCCGAGCACGGCGCCGCCAAGCGCACGGGAAACGGCCCAACAGCTGCCGCGAACGGCGACGCGACGCCGTGTGCGGCAGCAGGGGGCCGCTAAAGTAATAGCGGAGGGCGCGGCCGGCGGCTGGCCGCAAGAGCGCAGCGCAGCGGCGGGGTACAGCGCGCCGGCGCCGCCATTGCACTGAGTGTCCTCGCGCGCACGCCGGCCCCGCAGCCGGTGCGCGCCGCAGCGCGGCGCACAGCGCCCCGCGCCCAGACGCCGCGCGCGCACGGCGCCAGCGCGCAAGCACCCAGCGCGCAGCAACCGCCGCCGTGCGCCCAGGCCCTGAGGTGAGGCGGCACGAAGCGCGCGGGGCGCGTGGACCCAGCAGGCCGAGGCGCAGCAGGCGGCCAGGCGGCCTAGGCGGAGGCGGCATCGCGGAGGGTGCCGCCTCGCCCGGCGGAAGGGCCGGCGCCGGGGCCCTCGGCCCGGCGCCCGCCGCCCGCCGTGCAAAAATCGCGCGCAGCAGACCACCCCGCACGTGCGCGTCTCGCCGTCGCCCTACGCCCTCGCCCTCCCCGCCGCCCTTGCGGCCCTCGCCCGTCGCCGTCGCCGCCCCACAAGGAGGCGCCATGCTGATGCCCGGCGGCGGGGCTGGCGCGGGCGCCGACGCCGCCACCGCCGCCGTGCTGGGCGGCGCGGCCGACGGCCTCGTGTCGGGCTGGCGGCGTGGGCGTGGGCGGGCTGGGGGCTGGCGGGCCGCCGGCCGCCGCCGCCTCCGCCGCCGCCGCCGCCGCCGCGGGCGTCCAGCAGAAGGACACCACGTGGACCAAGCTGTTCGTCGGCGGCCTGCCCTACCACACCACCGACAAGTCCCTGCGCGAGCACTTCGCCATCTACGGGGAGATCGAGGAGGCCGTCGTCATCACGGACCGCCAGACCGGCAAGAGCAGGGGATACGGCTTCGTGAGTATCCTTCCTCTTTCGCTCCTCAATCAGACGTTACAACCGCATGTCACTACTAGTTGTATGGTTTCTGTGAAGAACGCGGTCGGAGAGTATTTGCGAGTCGTTGCTTCAACAAAAACACTCTTCCCGCACCCTAACTCCTCCACAAAAAAATTCAATTTGCGTTCCTTTGATTCATATTGTTTTTGATATTCTGAGTGCGCTCATTTTTCATTGGTTAAAACACATCACCTTTTCAATCATGTGCTGCTACAACAGCACACATTTCTCGCATCATTTAGTAACTTTTGCAATGTTCGAAATTGGGAGAGATCAACGAAAATGAGAACTACGCAATTTTGTATGCGTTCTTAGCTCTGTCGGAGAAAATAATGTAATCCAAATGTATTCCAGTACATTTGGAGCCGTTATTGAGAAAATGTTTAAAATGTTGTTAGGGATTCATTTATTACACCCAAAAAACAAATATCCCTTTCCAACTCGCACACATCCGTTGGAAACTGTCAATTTCGGGGAAACGCGTGTGATCGTGGGCCCTAGCACTGACTACAAATGTTCGGATGCACGAACAGCCAGGCAGGCAGACGTTTTGCCCTAAACCAATTTTTCGGTCTCACACAACGTGGATATTGCTTACAGTGCGTGTTGGTGCTTACTACACGTAGGAACAAGATTTACCCATTTTTCGGTATCAGGTCTCCCAGGTGCCAGTATTCTATTTGAAAAACCGCCTCTTTCAGCTGGTGCTTTACAATACTTTCTCTTTACTGCATAAATAAGTGGCATGAAAAATTAACTGTGACATCTACCGTGAATGCTGCTTAAATTTTGCCCAAAATCTTTGTTTTCATTATCTTTCTATTGTTTTAACATTTAAATATTCTTCTTGTTTAGTTTAGAAGTAAACTCTTCTGTTTGGGGACCTCTGAACGTCATGTGACGAATGGGAGCAACGCCCTCATTGTGTTCCCTGCTTTCCCCTCCCCCTCCTAACATCTGAATCCTGGGGTGCCCCCNNCCGCCGGCTGCGCATGTGGAGGGCACGAGGTCTTCATTGCACCGCGTAGACGCACTGCTCTCGTGTGCGAATGGCCTCCCGAGGGAAAGGCACTCGCCTCCAACAATTTCAGAACGTCCTCTGTGATTGGTTATTTTTAGTTTATATTCAGTCGCGCGGCCACTAGGATCATTAGGGTCGTCACAAATTTACAATGATAAGGTAAATTTACTTTTGAATTAGAGAATGATATTATTTACAAATAAACGTTCAGTCAGTTGAGGTGCCCATTCGTCATTCGTTTTCTCTGCTCGTATCAGCTATTAGTCAATGAGATAAGACAATAAAAGTAGGTTACAATACTATAAATGATTTTTCAAATATTCAAATTAAAGAAAAACTTCTCCATTGCTATAAGTTGCTTATAATGGCTGAAAATGTAACCTAAACCTATTCAAATGACTTGCATAGTACACGCACTCAGGAATAATTTCAAACTCTTGTCAAACTTTTAAAAAACATTCTTGAAGTTCAGATGAATAAAATAAATCTTCGTTATTCACTAACATATTTGCCTAGGCTGATAGGATACATGTGTAAATGAGATGTTCTACGGTTACTTTTTTATGTTGCATTCCCTTCCACTAGGTTTTTGTTAATTTGATACAGGTGATTTATTTAAGTATGATCTCACCTGTTTTCTGTAATAATAACTTGCTCATTACAGTAGAGTTTATTACTAGTTTTATACAATTTTGATGGGTGTGCTCTACATAATTTTACTAATGTGATTTATGTAGCTTAAAGCCTGCAGAAACTTTACTGTGGCGCCACCTTTTCGTCAGGGGGGGGCATTGTGATTAGAGAATATGAGATACAAGAGCTTGATGTCCTGGAAGTAACAATTAGAGATAAGGGCTGTTCAATAATTTCTAATTGATGACTTGTTGGCTCGTTCCATGATACTCTTGAATCAAAAATGATGAGTCAACAGTGAGATCTAATAATCAAACGAGTGACGCTGCACGATTTACGCAGACTTGTGTAAAACTTCAGCATTTGGCGACTGTTTGAAATGTTATAGAACTGTGTAATATACAAATGATAAAAATGTACAATTTAGAGAAAATTGTACGGCCAAGTATCATACGGCAATGAGAGACAATGTCGCGCCCCCAAAGTGATTTTAATTCAAATTGAAACAATGTTTTCTCGAAAAAGAGTTTTTAACATTCCGCCGCATTTTTCTAATTCTTCAAGATATGGTAGTAAATATATGTTTGGAGATTTTAAATTCTGTATATTATCAAAGAATAATAACATTCATATCGGATTGATTTTAAATTTTCTCTTCGGTGCTAAAATGAAGGAGGTGTATACGTGGTAAATCCTTATTGGAATAACCTGCGTCCGCCCGTCGCTCAAGGCCGTTGGGCCCTCCCCGCCCACCTGGCGTTCACTTCCCTCGCCACATCCCCATCCTGCCCGCGCGAACCACAGGCCCAGCGCCACGCGGCGACGCGGCTGCGGCGGCAGCGAAATGGCACGCGTCCCCAGACGGTCAACGACAGGTCGCTGCAGATTGTATCTCACGGACGCTGCTCTTGCCAGTATGTGCATCACTCCGAAGGAAAAATTCTATCGACAGCATTGCCACCCTGGAGGATAATTATTGTTTTATAGGATAATTTGTTGTATGTAGAATATACAGAAATGCTAATAGGATACTCCCTTTTGGTAGAATAGTTTCAACTACATATTCTAATATAAATCTATAAGAATAAAACAGAACGTAGTAGAATAGAAGTTTGCAAGTGTACACATGTTCTTCAATAAGCCGCCTGATAAAACACGGAAAGAATGTTGTCTTCAGAACAATTCTTGTAGAAGCGTTCGGACTAGGTTCACTAACACAGCCGAACCTCGAACGAACACCCATCAAGAAGAGTTGTGACCACACATTTTTGTATTTTTATTATTTAATTTAAATTCCTAATAGAATATTTTTACGTATTACTATGTCCGAGGGTGAAATAATCAGAAAACTGATTTTTAGCACATGAAAATATATTTAAAACAGTTTAAAGCCGCCGCGACGCCATGTTCAGCTAGTACAGTGTAGAGAAATTTACGTAATACTGGGGAGAAAAGTGCTGTTTTTTTTCACAGAAAAAATATTGAGGGCTCCTTGATGATAATAATGATAATGATAATTTTTCCTGCTCTTAAATGTAAAATATTTCTTTCTCAACTACGTAGCGTAGTCAGAATCTCCGTTTTGAGTTTCCTTAAAGATATACTTTTTGTTTTGAACGAAATCTATTCTTGAAAATTAAATCTTGAAATATCATGCAGTTTTTCAATAAATGTATTATTTTCACGTAAATTTTATCGAGAACGGTAGCACATTTTACTTTCTCGTATACATAAGTGTATATACGGGGTATAAGAGAAAGAGAATAATCTCTTACGCTGACAGGAAAGATTGCAATTGAGGAACTTGATCCCTACACCGAGAACAACGGCGAACTGCCAGAAATTTCCGCATTACTTTAATGTAAATTACATTAAATTAATTATCATGAACGCACATTAAATTTAACGCGCACATGTACATTTGGATGCAAGAGTCAAAGTTTAATTGTCATACCCGGAAGGAAGGAATGAACAATCTTGATGGTGATTTTGAATATATGATTTGAATGATGAGAGACAGGAGAAATGGAATAACCTCTACAGTAAATCTACACCGATTTTAAATTATACATTAAATTTAATATATATTAAGTTCTTTTTAATATATAAGGTTACATTAAGTTTAATGGACAATTCATTGGATTTAATGACATTGGATTTAATGATTGCAACAAAAAACATTGCAAACGTACAATATTGACGGGCGCGGATTAGGTAGTAACTACTCGTATTTGCAGCTCAGAACTGCCAGTACCCCCTTGGAACACGTGTTGGTCGAAATAAGAATCGAATGCTTGTAATGACTGATATTAATTACTGCAAAGAACTATTATGATTCTGTGGACGTGAAATTACTGCTTTTAGAATGGTCGTATGTACAATGTGATCGCGAACTTGACATCAAAGAGAAAAGAAAAATGTAAGGCAATGGTTATCGAAGAGGTATCTGAAATAATACGATGTGCTAAAGTTGTGAAGGCCAATACTGTAATAATGATAAATAATGATGACTTTTTAGACTTTGCTACAGAAGGAGAGAAGTTTTTGACCACAGGTACAAGAAAAATTAACTCTCAGATGGAGTAGACTTTCAAGAACTAACTTTCTCATGATAAGAACGGGACAGTCGTTCAATGACATGGAGATATGGAAGGAGAAAATAATTTTTAAGAAAAAATGACATTAATAGCAATATCTAACTTGCTGTTGCATTATCAAGAAATAGGATTTCTTATACAAAACTGTGACATGAATTAAATATATGTAACTTAAACCTTAGTAAATTTCTTACATTTCAAAGACTGTATAAAAATGTTGGCAAAAAATGGTGTTCAAAAAAATTATATTTTTCTGCTTCTGAAAAATTGTTTTCTTGGCAGTCACTATCTTTCTCGTATCAACACATCAATTTACAGCAGCAGGGAACTCCTTAGGCAAGTGGCCGTCGAGTCTTCGGGCAAAATCGTTGCAGTGATAACAAGCGGAAACGAATCCCAACCTGCAATGACGCGCAAAACATTTAATGATCGACACACCAACCATCATTCACATGTTTGGTAATGGCCAATATTTCGAGCCAGATTCTAACAAGCAACCTAGTACACAAGTTGACAATGCAGTTTCTGTAGATAACCCTCTTTGTAATTTTATTATGAACAGACAGACGCCCCGGATTTAAAAAACCGAGAACAACCTAAAAACATTAGTGGAACGTTTAATGATCTCAAGTCTGCGATCCCAGATTGCGGACGGTGCGCAAGCAGAGGCGCGCTCTCATTTCCATGGCCCTCTGGAGTCGGCCGCC